AGAGGGGGAAACGCCCCCCCAGACGGCAGGCAGCCTGAATTTTTCCGTAACCCCGCTCAGATATTAATGTTCCAACAACAAAGCGAATTCTATAAATTGCTGGATAGAGAAACACGAGCTGAATCAAAAGAACAATCGACGAGCGACTGTAACAACTAACATACTCACCAGCCATAGGATAGCCTGGTTTCTCTCCTTAGAGTCGAGCGAGTAAAATTGTGCGTCTTTTTCCTCCAATACTGCCGGAGTTCCCAGTTTTCAAGATCAAAGAACTGTAACGCCGGTGGACATGCTACAAGGACAAACACATCACACCACTCCAAGAGAGTTACCTCAGGAATGTTTGCAAGCTTTGCAGGATTTGGCTTCCCGACGGCAAGAGTGTATGACTTTTTTCTTGCGCTCTTCACCATTTTCTTTACATTCCGTATAGCTCCGGCTGCGAGGAAGTCCAGGTGTTAGAGAAATGCCGACCAACATCGAGTGTTATGCCGACAATGTTTGCATCCTTTGGTACGCTCGATTAAATAGTACCTGGAACCAAAGTCGAGGAACTTTACTGGTTGCCAAACTCTTCGATGCAATCGTCTAGATCTCAAGTTCTAGAAATCATTCAAAGGTATCTATCTACCTGCATATTCCGATGATCGCAAACCACAGTACTCCAGGCTCCGTAAGAATGCATTTCGTTTGCCTGGCTGATTGAAACACACCACTGTCAGAGCTACAAAGGAAAGAAATTCATGAACTCCATAATTCCACCTGGAAGATGTTGCGAGGGATGAATTGGATACGCCACAACGATTTCCTTGGGAAAATTCCAGCGGAAATCGCTTCTCTTGAGCAGCACAGGCTGCGGCATTTCGACAATCAGGAATCCTCCGCGCTCTGGATGGAAATCGCCTGTGCTGTAGCGGCGGCACTGCAGTCCCTAATCCAGAATCCGAGCTGAGAGAGGAGTATCGGAGATGCGCGGCATACGTTCAGCGTACTGGCGCGTGGTAACGCCAGTGCTCAGCCTCGCCATAGCCTGGAACCCTAAATTTCCATTCCTTTAGCCCGTTAAACCCTAAACCCAAACATGATAGATAAGTTAACTTTAATAAAAAGTGTTACGCTTTAATACAAAAGACAAGAATATTCTCCTTCCTGGCCTGGGACTCTCTTGGACATCCTGCGAGAAAGAGGCAAAAAGAAAAGAAGAAGAAGCGTGAGATAGCCGATCAAATGAGAGTATACTTACATTGTCCTATCGCTTCCCTCTGCCCTTGAGGCCTCCTCCATAGCAATCGAAGCTCCAAAATCCCAGGAGCTCAAAACAAAGTAGTGCCAGAGAGCTCTCTTGCAAGAGCCCAGCGAGCTCAAAGTCCCTGCCTTTCTAGCTCAAGCATCCGATTCCTGCTTTCTCGGCCTTTCAAGCTCTTGGAGCAACGATTCTGCATTCGCTGTCACAGTCTTTATATGCCAGAGTTGAGAGGCCTCAGGCTGAGACGGACGAGATGGCCATATTTCCAAAGCAAGACGAGGGCAAGGCCGACGTTCATAGCACTGACAAGGAAAACCGAGCAGTAATTATGCAAGAAAATGGTAAGCATGGCTCCAATGCGTTTGGAGGCTTGCGGAAAAGAAGGCCAGCACAGTGAAAACGGCAACATAAACAAAGTATTATATGCACGAGGGCAGGGCTCGTTTCTTTCTTTCCAGTATATTGGACTTCTTTCAAATAAAAAGTCACATCTTAGATCTGGAAACAAGGTTTTGATACATGCCCAGGCCGATAAGACTCGATTTCAGGACCAGTGGAAAATTCTTGTTGTGAATCGATTTAATACTATTGACATAGGTGCATTATACCTTCTCAGATCAATGGTATTCTCTCCTTTAATTCACATAACTACATTATGTATTCTTGGATTTCATATTTGTATTTTGTATTTCTTCCTCTGTCTTTTAGCATCTTAAAGGCTTTAGCATAGGGATTTATATCTCGCAATAATATATCTAGCTCCGTCATCACCTCTTTATTACATTTCATGTTATATTGATTTTTCATCCGTGCTTTAGTGGCATGTAATGTACATCTCGACACTTCCATGTGTTGGTCCTCTTGTGTCCCTTTTTTAAAGACTCATTTATTGTTTGTTCTTTGAGCACTTTATTGAGAGTTGCACTTCAAGTCGAGCATTTTTAGTCTAAATGTGTTACTCTTGTTTGGCTTCCACTTCAGCCATTACCACGTGGCACCCTTTTGGCTCCACTTTTGGGGCTCTAGAATTTGTGTCTCACAAATAGGTGGGGATTGTTATTTCTTTCAAGTGATATATTTGCGAGTATTTTATTTGTCAATTGATGATACAGTATTTTTTGAGCTGTCTTTTGTAAGTTATTTAGCATGTTATTTACAATCATTGGTAGTTAAGTTTTATCATTGAGTTCTTTTGATAATATACTTGCTATTGAAATTTTTTGGATAGTTAGTACTATAATTTTAACCTTTAATGATTTTAATGGTTCCTATACATTAATTCTAGTTGATCAAATGATAACTTAATTAGAATACTATGAGTGCCTGGAATATGGAAAGGGAATACAGAAATGTGCATATCAATTAGCCCAAAAACCCTAGCTTATATACAGGAGCGAGTGGTCCGGATTGAAACTAATCCGATGGCTACCAAAATCCCACTACGCTAATATTAGTATACGGCATCGTAGCCGTACACCTGGCCCTCACATCATCCCCTCCTCTTGGGATAATGGAAGATCATCAGGGTTCTCTTGAAGATGGGCCGGGATCCGGAGGAACGTCAGGAGGAGGCAACAGTGGATCTGTAGGTGGTATTAACTCCTCCTGATCCCTTTGTACGAAGCGTTTCAGCCGCTGCACATGCACAATCTCTGGAGGATCGGTCTGCTGAACGTCATGCCGAACCTCATAAACTTGTGGTCCAACTTGCCGCAATACTCGATACGGTCCTTTCCATTGCGCAAGAAGCCCTTTAGATAAACCACGTACCGTAAGATGGGGAAAACGGACTAACACCAAATCATCCACTTTGTACTCCGCAGATGGACGATGATGGGAGTTATAGCGCCGTTGTTGTCCCACTTGTACGCGGCCTAAGTGTTCGGCAGACTTTGCTCGGACAAGTGGAAGAATGCTCGTCAAATACTGATCCCATGATCTAGCATCGGCAGCTCGTGGCAATTGCGAAGGTAAACCCAGCTCCGTTGGTAATATTGGATCATGACCATATAGGAGTTTATATGGTGAAGCACCAACAGAACTCTGCACCCCTGTAACATATGCATACCGAAGAGACGGCAAATAACCATCCCAATCCGAATGCTGAAAGTTCACATACTTCGCAATCATCCCTTTGAATGTCCGAACGAGCCGTTCCACCAGACCGTCTGATTGTGGATGATAAGCACTCGTGAAAGTGTGGCGTATCCCCAACCGAGACATCAAAACATGAAATGCCTCAGCCATAAATGTGGGACCATTATCCGAAAGAATCTGCTCTGGACAAGAATGCTGGAACACCACTCGATTGAGGAGGAAGTATCCAACAGCAGTTGCAGAGGCGCTAGCAAGAGCACTAACTTCCACCCAACGAGTCAAGTAGTCAGAAGCAATAATAACATACTCATTGCCAGCAGTCGACCGTGGAAAAGGTCCCATAAGATCAAACGCCACTAACTCAAACGGACGGGAAACCGCAATTGACTCCAACCGTCCTTCCGCAGCACGAGGGGGAGTATTACGAGCTTGGCACCAAACGCAGCTACGCACATACCGGATAATATCACGTCGCATCTCCTGCCAATAGAAAGACCTGCGCAGCTTCTCGGTAACACGACGGTGTCCCATATGCCCACCTAGAACAGGAGAATCATGGTAGGCATGGAGAAACCGCGGAATAAACACCGAAGGCACCACAAGCCGTAAATGATCATCAGGATCCGTCCCCACAAAATAAAGAAGACCATCTTCAAAGCGATATTGAGAATGTAAATGCCGGAAAGGCAAGTCATCAGCAAGTGATGCAGGATTCTCAAACCCATCTCGAAGCCTTCGAATCCACGGCTCAATCTTTTAAGCCTCGCGAACCTCATCAAGAGAAGGTAGATCTTGCTCTGCGCCTTGTGGACACTGAACGTCAAGGACAGCAATTGCCGACGGCACAGAATCCTCATCTAGAAAATCCACAGATGCTGGAACAACAGGTTCGTCAGAAACATGAGAAGTGAATGGAGAAGGAAGAGGAGCTCGAGAAAGGGCATCAGCATCAGCCATAGAACTCCCTGGGCGATGAACAACATCGAAATCATATATCTGAAGTTTCAAAGCCCATCAAGCCGTACGACCAACCAGGTTCTTCCGCTTCAATAATGAAGTAACAGCAGCATGGTCACCTTCAAGTAACGTCCGAGAACCATGTAGATATGCATGAAGTTTTTCGAAACCCCAGACTGCTGCTAAACACTCCTTCTCCGTCGTGGAGTAGTTCATCTCCACTGGTTGTAATGTACGGCTTATGTATGCAATGGGGTGGCGCTGACCAGGCACACTCGAGCTCTCTTGCATCAATACACCTCCAAGACCAATGTCAGAAGCATCTACGCGCAAAATAAAAGGTCGAGTGTAGTCAGGATATGCCAAAACCGGAGGAGTCGTCAATAGTTCTTTGAGATCCACGAATGCCCGCTCACAATCCGGAGACCAAATGAAAGATGACGTTGATGACTTCAGCAACGCTCGCAATGGTGTAGTGCGATCGGAAAGATGATCCACAAAACGACCGAGATACTGCACCTTACCCAAGAAGCGCTGCACATCATTCACACACTTCGGAGTAGGGAACTTTAGAACAGCCACAAGTTTGTCAGGATCAACTTGCAAACCCTCACGAGAAATACGGTACCCAAGGTAAGTTGTGTCCTTGGACCCAAACATGCACTTTGACCGCTTCAGCTTTAAACCAACGTCACGTAACCGATCCAACACTTTACAAACATCACGAACGTGCTCCTCCCACGTCCTCTCCGAGTGGATCAAGACATCATCAATGAAGTCAGCAGTCACTTCCGGCATATCGCAAAGAACCTCGTCCATCATCCGCTGGAAAGTTGCTAGAGCATTGTTCAAACCAAACGGCATCACCAAGAACTCGTACAAACCAAATGGTGTACAAAAAGCAGTCTTAGGAATATCTTCTTCGGCCATTGGTACTTGCCAATACCCAGAAGCAAAATCTAGCTTGGTGAACCAACGACTTCGCCCCAGACGATCTAAGAGATCAGCAGTGTGAGGAAGAGGATACACATCTGGGATCGTCACTTCGTTTAACGGACGATAGTCGATGCAGAAACGAATACTCCCATCAGGCTTCGTCACAAGATGAGGTTCACATGCCCAAGGACTCCGCGACTTCCGAATAACACCCTTCTCCAGCATTTCCTTGACGTTGGCTCGTAAAATCTTGATCTCCTTAGGTGACCGACGACGAACAGGAACCTTGATTGGACGAGCATCCCCGGTTGGAATCGGATGACGTGTGGCAATCTTGGCCCCAGACGATAGGTCAAATTCAAAGAGATCAGAATACTCCTTCATGAGCCGGTCAACTGCTGCAACACAAAGATCTTCGGAGGGATCGAAAAAGGGAAAAGCAGAACAAGATGGAAACATGGAAGGAAAGAGTGGGGGAACAAAAGTAATGGAAGCAGAGGTAGAAGTAGAGGGACGAAGAGGTATGGAAGTGAGAGGAATGGATGAAACATAAGGAAGTATGAGACAAGGGGGAGAAGCCTCAAAGTCACACTTGGCATGATTGCGCTGCAACCAATCCATACCAAGAATGAGGTCAAAAGCTTGACTCGGCACCACCCGCAACGATTGCAACTCAAGCTCGAGATCGCCCACACGCACAACCAGGTCCACCTCATCCTGTGCACATGCATGTGTACGGCCGTTGCCATAAAGAATGAAAACTGGTTCCGCCGCACGACGCAAGTGTAGACGACAACGTGTGGCAACAGGTCGAGCAATAGA